CCTATGAATGACATAATGAAAAAAAGTTTGTACTCACCCATAAGCGGACATCGGGTCGTATGAGTAATATCCTGTAGTTGGCTGTAGGCCAGCTGATGTCCAAGCAGTCATTTCTGTGCCACCAGCTGAATCTTTCAATGCATATGGATTGCTCTGTAGATAGAAGAAATTATGATTTTTTTTTATTAAACATCAAGTAATAATAAAATGCATACACATGTATAAGTATTTCAGTAATAATTATGAAGCTTATCCACGTAATATAAAACTTGTAAATTAGCCTGAGCTATGGAAAACTTAAACAATTTTATCAAAAAGTAGTATAAAGGAACTTCTTCTTAGGTCTCTTAGAATTGGTTATTTTTTTGCGTTTTATTGAGAACAGTTTTACTTACTGCTCAAAATTGTTTCACGGCCGCATATTTAAGAAAAATTACCTAAATTAATTGCTCCAATAGGTTTTTTCTTTACAACTATTTGTATGTTTGCCTCGTAAATGTACCTACAAATCACCTCAATATTCAAACATACTTAAATACATATTTGGATATGTATGTATGCACATATGTATGTACTAAGTAAGCATGTTTAAATAAAACACGTATGCACTTACTTGTATGCCTGTGATTGCATTTCGATTCGCAAATGGCAACAAATGTATTAAAACATCGATCGTTTGCTTAATAAGTACGTTTGGTGTTGGGGAATTAATCAATTACAACGATGTAAAATGTAAAAGTCGCGCGCTTAAACGAGTAATAGAGATGTGACTTGTAATGGAGATAGCAAACAAATCAATACACACACACACACACACACACACACACAGACGAACACATACCGGAGGCACCACATAAAAACAACGAACAACGCTATTAGCGCCATTTATAGGCAATGGCCCATTAACAGAACAGCGCGTTGCGAATGTGTATTTTATGCGAATAAAGCAACAAATACGCAGCCAGCCGGCCATACGCACTTAAACGCAAATACATAAAAAAAACAAATGTAGAAAACCAGTTAACCGCCTCTCCCCACCTCTCCACCTTATTGTCGATTAATAAAAAATAAAAAATAAATAAAAACAATCACTTGCGTAATCGCTGAACGTTTGCAAAAATATTTTCCCACAGTTTTTATGAAATGACCAAATAACAGGTTGAATAAAATTTCGATTCACAAAAAAAAATAATAATGCATTAAAATACAATAAATTACGTATGCCATTTTGTTGATGACAAGAGCACAAGCAACAACAACTAAGAAATATTTATAAATAAATTAGAAATTAAAATTTATAATTCAACAAATTGTTAGAGAGCAGCGCGCCAATACAGCAAATGCTCGTATAAAAACAAAAACAACTAAACGAAAACCTGCTGCCAACGCAGATCCGCCATTGTTTATGGTATGGCAGTTGCGCGCTGCTGCTGCTAATTATTACAAGCTTTTATTTTACGTTCTTCATTGTGCCTAAAATGAAACAGATTTGTA